CGAATGTATGTATTGAACTTTTGTCAAGTTTTAACTGTTGCCACTGAATGAGTAGCTTAAAACTGAAACTTTCAGTTTTCATTAATGTCTGACAGGATATAACTAAATAAAGAAGTAGATGTAGAATTAGCTGAACTCGACAACGTATCCCTTACTTGTATGCGCAACACTAACAAGATTAGTAAAGTGACATGTAGACAGAATGTAAAATGTATCTTAGAAATGATCATTCTTAATTTCACTGTTAGAATTTCAGCAATTACATCTTTAAAAACGAACAAAAAATACGTTTTATTTTGACAAGATAATAAACGATTTCTTAAATCTAATTTCTTTGTAACAATCGACTCAACACTGTTATCAGTGCAAATAGTTTGGCTCAAAAAGGTAACTCTCAAATTAACATCATCGCTGCCGGAACTTTCGACAATTATTTATGAATTTATTGATAAGATTTCATTGTTATATGTTTATAATATGTCATCAGAAATATCTCTAAAGTAATTTATTTGCCAATTCTAAAAAGGTATCATAGAAATCAACTTTACGAAACAGAAACCTTATTATGTATGGTGACATTCCTTCAGTTAATATTTCTTACAAGCATGAAGTAATGAAAACCACTTGAAGTTAATTTAATTATCTCAGTGAAAAGTTCGAGCATGAGGTTATTTATTCAATAATCTATGAATGTCTCAGCCAGATTATACGCACTAGTACTGTATGTTATTGATATCTATTTAGATTATTTCAAAGTTCCGAATAAATTAAAACCGCCGTAGTTTACAATGTATCAATAATTACTAGAATGGATTCATATTTTAAAAAAATATGAGAAAGCTTTAAGAAAATAAATCATGAAATATTTTTATTTCATATAATTTTCTGTTACTTTTGTTGCGGAAAAAAACAAACAAACAGAATCTACCTCTTGATTATTTCTAATTCCCAAATGCGTTATACATTAACATACACACACACACGCACCAACAAATGATTTCAGCGTTCTCATTAATTATAACTGCGTTCTTAATTACTGCCATATTCATGACATGATGGAGAAGATTTGTAGCTCAGGTGGATGATTGTGGTGGTGTGTGGTTCACTGAGATGAGTGTTTTGGAGCTTTCATTGTTCTGCTCAACAACATCATTAGCACAAACATCTGATCAGATAGAATTTTTCAAGGAATTGGTGTTAATCAATGAAATGATATTCATCCTGTGCATAGAATCGTAAATAAAATTTATCAACATCCAATATAAGAAATAATTTTATTTGTAAACAAAGCATTCATTGATGTAATAGTTCACAATTGGTCTATATATATATATTAAAATATATCCAAAATGGTTTTATTTAGATATTGGGAATAACCTTCGTAAGTTCAAGGTCTCACTGGTCATCAATAACTAAAGATTTTTTATTAAAAGAATAATTATACTTTAAGTTTGTAGTGTCGGTGCAAAAGTTGGAAATGTTTGTAGAACTATCATTGATTATAATTTCATTACATAATTACTGAGTAGCTAGATTACTATCTGTACATATTCCCTCTCGATTAACCATTAACTCTTATAATACAACTTGCTAGTCTTGTTTTGTTATCCGTTTGCTAGTCAAAGTCTCCCCTATTCATAGCAACTTTTGGTTTGTTCATATATAACTGTTACTTGCAACTTTATGGTGTGATGCAGTTCGATATATTGTTGGAAATGTAAGTATAGAGGAGTCTAAATGATAATTCTGGATTGAAGGCTGAATAAAGAAAGTACTTGGAGAACAGTGAACCAATAAGAACCTAGCTTCCCGACTAACGTCAGTGGCGCTGTCTGAGTGTGTGATAGCCAAGCCAGGGATGCTAATCTACGGAAGAGATAGACAGTTAGAATTAGGATTGTGATCGGTGCACAGGCACGGGACATTTGTCAGTCGAATTCAAGACGTCAAAAGATCATTGTCTCTAAAGAGTATGACAAAAGACTTAGTTTCACAAAGTAACCGTACCATGCTGACATTCATCAAAGCTAAAAAAGACCGGGGATAGATAGGTCAATACACGATACCGGTCCATGAAGTTAGTGCCTATTTATCTGAACCGCGTCAGAACGGATAGACCTACTAAAATGGGGTCCACCTCCAACTCGACTATCAAAAGAAGAAAACTAAATTATTGTAGAAAGACTACTGTAGGAGGTAGAATAATGACTTTTACGGATTATGAATATTTATAGATTAGTGAATGGACATGAGCATTTGGAAAGTAAACATGGTCGGAGGAATGTTCATAAGATTTTAACAATTTTGCTCTATCTCACTTATCCTACTGCCTTGAAATGATACAAGATATTTTTTCATGAAATGATTGATCAAGATGTTAGGCGAATCCTTAGAAGATAAAATTTCCTTGTGATACTCAAGATTTGTATGCAATGATGTTTATAGATTGTGGTGGATGTGGTCTCAGCAATTCTATGGCTGTCAGCATTCGATATAATTCCTAAACTTAGTGCACTGCTAGTCCTGATAACCGTCAATACATAACGCCCAACAGTGTGTAAATCATGAGACCGATACGAAGTGTTGATTACGTGTATTATCGCATCACACACATCACTAAACCAAAGGAACACGAAGCGAAAATGATATGTGAGTGCCGAAGAGCAAGTGAGTGAGTGAGCGGGCGAGTCAATGAACAGGATCAATATATATATATATATATATATATATATATATATATGTATATTTATATATATATATATTTAATTATATATATATATATATTCATATATATGTATATACGTATGTCATCATTAAATTATATAAAATGTTAATGTCATTAATTTTATGACACATTAAATTAGATTTTGAAGACGAGTTAATGAGAATTTTTGTCAAAATATTTTAAGATGTTTGCACAACGTTCGAAAATTACATAAATTGAACTTTAAAATGTTTTTGTACAATCTTCAGACCACCTCAAATGTAAACGAAAAATTTCTCTTGATTAATACAGGATAGAAATGGCACTATTAAACGTAACAAATGCTCAAATATTATCTATGTAGATTAGATATAACAAGTTAATCATCAACACTATCCTAACCGAATTATTCAAGGAATCGGTGTTAATCAATGAAATGATATTCATCCTGTGCATATAGAGTCGTAAATAAAATTTATCAACATCCAAATATAAGAAATAATTTTATTTGTAAACAAAGCATTCATTGATGTAATAGTTCACAATTGGTTTATATCCAGCTTCCATCATAATACAAATCAGTCACTCATAACATTGAAGGGAATAACAACGATTTCTACGAAAAAATCAAATGTAAAATTATCAGTCATTTCAATGTTGAATATCGAATTCCTTATTGAGTTTTTAAGAGTAGTTAGACAAACATTCTTGTTCACTTGATTGACAAACATTATAAATGAAAAACTATACATTCTAAAGCACAGCATTTTGAAGAAATCATCCGAAAGCGGAATGTTTGCTCTTATATTGGACATTATATCAGTATGTTTTTCTACAATCAATTCGATTGTGATCGTGCAATTTGTAAGTTGTTAAAATTATTTACCGATGTAAATTGATTGAACATGTGTGTATATCGATTAGGTCGTCCGTCGGTCAATTGGTTAAATGAAGCCTCTTCGATATCAAGCGTAAGAGGTTGGTAATCGTCACAAAACTGTAGGGATCGTTGGAAATGTACTCTGTACGTTGTAGTTTGGCATAGTTCCTTCCTATTTTCACCTTATGATACCTAGTTTAACAATAAGTTCAGATCAAAAGACAGCGATGGAAATAGATCCCACACAGTGTATTTACTTGGTCCTATTTTTCCTAGATTTACACAATATCTAAACTTCTGAAGGGTTGCTCAATGAAGTTTCCCTTTCGGTTAAATAGTGAAGCAACCCTAGTAAATTTGTGTGAGTTGGTCGTGAAGGGTTTAACAACGAACCATATGTTATCAACTTTTTTAGAAAATCGAACAGTAAACGGTTTAACATTAAGTATTGGAAACCAAACCTGTGCTATTGTATGATAAGATAGGTCAGTTTCTACGGAGTGGATATGCATGTCCGAAGCCCAGAACACTATGAAATTCTCATATGCTCAATGCTAGTTTACTATTTCCGTCATCGATATTGGCGATTCAACATAATAGAGAGCTAAAGAAAGTAAATAACCATTATACACGGTCAAGAAATTTTATTATCTCGAAAAATCCAAACTTTCCATGTCTATAAGTTAGATCCATAAAAAAACACTAACAGTTTTATTCTAAGAGTATCCAGGTTTGACCTATTATATCATCTTGAGTTGTAGAATGTCATACGTCAATACTAAATATATTGAAACTGAATAACTTTATAGCAGCAGAATAAGGAGAAACAAAACCTGACATAGAAGGTTATCCTTCTAAGTTTTCAATGATCTCATCAACTTGAGAGAAAAAAATAAGGCAATAAATACATACAAGCATAACGAAGTAACTACTAGGTCAGAAAAAGTTGCTTTTAGGACTGAGTTATAAACTTCTTTACAAGTATCCTGATCCCCAAATGTTGTCACATCAAACTGCGTAGAACAATATTTGAAACAAATGACGACTAAACCACAAGCCAAAACACAGCTGTTTCAGTTATAACAGTTTCCATCAGTACATGTTCATCAGAGTAGAGGCAAAAACTCAGAGGTAAGTGACAAGTAACAAGAAATCCAATATTTAAAACATAATCATTGAACACATTTACACTATCATGATCAGTTCTTGAACTAATCTGTGGTTCTTAACAACTTTCCTAAGGACTCAGACCAATAATTACTTCTTAGAATAATACCTAGTATTTATGTGGTCACATTCGGCTTTCTCAATTTAATCCGACTTTAGTAAGCATTCCACATTACAGTGGACAGTAACTTTGAATATACAACACACGACGTAATTACTTTAGTCAGTCACGGTTCAGAACTCCAGTGACGGGCTGTTTTTGATTTAAAAATTGCAATTAGTTTTGGACTATTAGACACTAGTGGCCACAACACCTGATCTTTAGGAGTTAATATCTTCAAGAATGGTGAGTATTAAAAATCTTAAAAGCAAGAGTAAATTGTAGTCGAAACATTTAGAATGGTAGTGGTCAATAGTGTAGTACACGACAGGTTATTTCCTGTGGAAATACGATAAGTTCTGATTACGAACTGTACCAATAAGACAAACAACATTAAAACCTACTTATTGCTGTTAGGTATAAGAAGACCATTAAAGACCAAATAGAAGCGAAAATCTAGTTTACAACCTACCAGTCAGTAATAGCTAGTTCCCAAGCAGTTTCACACAAGCACAAGAACAGTAATACCATATTCAATATGGAATATTATAACGTGTAATAACAGCTAAAAGATACTAGTAAAAGAATATTGTCCCCGCGTGCAAAAAAACTAAAACTGTTTTTCAGTAGCGCTCATGTAAGAAGCTAGAAACAAACTAACGCAAAGTATTACTAGATCAAAATTGTATATACTTGACTAGAATATACAATACAAGATAAAAATTAGAAGCAACTATGAGGTATGATAGTAAATAATCAAAATGGAGTGAAAGATCAGCTGGTAAATCAGACAAATTGAACAAATGAATGAAAAACAGATAAACTGCGGTATGCGAATAAAGAAATATTAATACTCAGATCAACATTTCTGAATGAAAAGATGTTACAGAATAAAACTGGAAAGCAATTCAACTTGTATCCATGGAGCAGCTAACTATGCTGACGATTTCAGAATTATTAAGTTGAAGCCATGGTCTTTGCCATACAGTCGCTTTGCAAATCTGACTCTGCATAGTAAATATATAGTGCTAGCACAATTGAAAATACCTTTCCATCTACTGAGTTACAAGAATTAGGATTAGCGGTAACGTCATTGAGAACATCTAGAAAAAACGAATAATTAAAGTTGATAATTCACTTACGATTGTTATCATCAGTTAAAGTTGTGCAAGATGTAGGGGAAAATCTAACGTAAAACGTATAGAAGATTCCGCTAACAACCTGTCTTAACGATAACTTTTAAAAGAAAAACCTCACCTGGGATGTTGCATTTATCAACTTCGTTATAATGTGAAGACTGTGATTTCCATGCTTACTATTAAATTTATGAGTTATCTTGGCCAACTTGTCACCGAAACTTTCCATAGAAGCCTCAATTTTTCTTGGAGCACCAACCATGACTCCATCACCTGGAGTCAGTAGTACTAAAGATGATAGGATAAAAACGCGAAGCATTGCAGTGCCTCTCGCTCAGAATTAACGACCTTAAATGTTCGCGTCTGGCGGCCTTCGAAACACAATATCACTGTCAGTTTTAGTTTCAGTTTTCGTTTGGAGAAATCCTGAGACTTGGTAGTTTATCTTAGTATTAGCAATTTTGAACTCTCAGTTTATCTGGCTTTCTCTTTAATGCGTCAAAAGATGGAGTTTTCATGATGCGTTCAGGTTATGATCGATAGTGAGCAGACAAAAATTTTTATTTAGTATCCAATATCTTTTTCACGAGCTAATATAAACCAGTTGATTTCTTTGCGCTCGATTCTCGGTCTTTCATTACGGTTCCAGTTATTTGGTAGTACTCAGTGGATGGAGGTCTAGCAATTCGACTGAAATAAATCTAGTCAGTTGTCAGTTGTTTTGCGAGTTCGTATATCCCGTGATTTAAATGAATATGTTTTTTTTTCAAGGCAGTAGGGCTTCCGGATACCGGAAGCCATCACGTTACCAGGCTGGAGATCAATTATTTTCAATGTGTATAATAACTAGGGGAAAATTCTAATCCTTCCGAGATTTTAGAAGCAAATAATTAAATAATTTAATCAGTTGGTGTTGAGGATTGTGTGAGAGGATAAAAGTGTAAGCGAAGAATACAAAACAGAGACAATAAGTGGGAAATAGTAGGTAAGTGATCTAAGGAGATGACACTAATAACAACAAGCACATTTGGAGACAAATATCAGACAGGGCTAGTCCAAGAGAGAGATGATACTCCGTGTATGGGCACGTGTTTATCAAGTCTTCTCCTAAATCATTCCACTCAGACGAGCGGACTTCTTTGTCGGTAAAAGTCTTTTATATCACGTGTGGCACAATGTACATAAAGTGACGTTTTGACTGATATAGTTTAAAGCCGTTTTAGATGCTCAGTTGAATTCTCTTCATTTCCAACGGACCTTTATATCTTTTCATTATCTGCGTAGATCACTGTCGCGGCGCTTACTTTGTCTAACACGTCTTTAATGAATACCAGGAAGAGAAGTGGTCACAAGATGGTCTACTGTGAAACTCCCGATGCTGAGACTCACCAACACGAGTGAACTTTATTTGCCTTAATGCAGTATTTCTATTCTCAAGGAATTTTCTGAGCCAAGATAGCAGTAGGTCAGTACAGCTCATTTCCGCAAACTTCGCAAATAAGTTTGTGTTGAGTACTGTGTCAGCGGCTTTTGCAAAGTCATCGAAAATTATGCGCACTAGTATTTTTTGGTCACAGCAGGATGTCCAGCTGTTCCGTGCTATGAGAAGATTGGATGCGCACGACTTGCCTTCCTGAAACCCATGTTGCGCTTCATGAAGCATTTTGTTTTTATCCATCTGTTCATTAACCGGCCTTCCATTACTTTCGATAGTGTTAGTAGTAGTTGGACTGATCTGTAATAGACTGGGTCTTTTGTATCTTCTCCTTTAAAGATCGGTTGGCGAGTAGCTGGTTTTCATTCAGCGGAGAGTTGTTGTGACTAGTGAATGCTTGAACGGGTCACATATAGGTGATGATAATTCCCTACTTATTTTCTGTTGATTCCGCTGTTGCGCGAAGCTTCTCAGTTCAGAGACTGCACCCACGAAATTCCACCCATTGTCATCATACACGTCTGTTAGCCTCCTTCTTCTTCCGATAAAACGTATTAGGGCCATTATAAACGAATCAGTATTCGAGCTTTATGTCATCTCGATATGTACTGCTCGTGTCTGTAGACAGGTTAATACACATCCATACCTTTTTTTCATGGACTTTCCTTTTTGACCGGAGGGGGTCCAAAGTAGTCTACTCCTACCGTTGAAAAGCTATACTAGCACTCTACAAACTGTGAGGGGAGCCATCAGCTGATTTCTTGGGCTTAGTGTACACCTCCGGCAGGTCTCACACTTTCCTATTACTCTCTTAATCGAGCCGATGCCCTTAATATTCCAGTAGTACTTGCGAATCGTGGCTAGCACTTGAGATGTTTCCGTATGTCCTTCTTTCTTGTGATAGTGTCTGATTATCGTTTCTGTCACTGAGGGTCTGCTGGGAAAATTATTGGATGTTTAAATGCACTTGGGAATTCAGAGTACGTCAGGCGACATCCAACGCAGAGCAAACCATCAAGCATTATCGGTGTTAAACCTCTCAGACGCTTGTTACTCGATACTTTACGGTTGAGGTTAGATTCATTCAGTAATTCTCCTTCAGTACCATCATTAAAATTTTTCGCGATTTCAAGCTCCATGACATTTAGACATCCTATCTTAACGGAGCCTTCATGTCTCGGCGAACGAAGCACTGTCAAAAGGTCTATGAACCTTCTTAGCCAAGCTACAGCCCTGAAATATTTCATCCATTCCGAGTAGTGAGACAGAATAGGCGACGGGTTATATTTTATAGTATTTAAGTTAACCGCAGCTGCTTCTCTCAACTCAGTTTGGTCAGGAATAGATTCTGGATGGTTAGTAATTACATCTAAATTTCCTTACAGTAGGGTGGGAACCAGAATTACAGATCGGTCAATTTTGTATACCTCTCGAGGTCCAATCAGCCGGGTTTTGTGACAAACATACATTACTTGATTGTTCAGCTCTGGTATACTGGTGGACGACGGCAAGACGATTAGCTATATAGCTGGTGTACCGCGTTTCGGTATTCTTAATGAAGTATAGCACTATCATGGAATTCACTTCGCAGAAGTTGGGCAGACTCTTCACTCAACCTTACACTTAAAACCGCTGCCTACATCTCTTATCTCAGTATAGTGACTCGTTTGATAGGTGCTACTCTAGACTTGTTGGATAGCAAGATACAGTAATAATAATAATATATTTATTCTCAAATAACCACGTTACAAGAGTCACGCCATTTTACAGGCTAGATCAAATTGTCACAAATGCTTTCACAATTACTGTAAAAGTTATCGCAGTTAAATTAAGTGTAAGAGTCAGTTTCTGATAACATATTTACACCATGTCACTGACAGAAACAGTATGATACAGCCACATTTTCAATAGCAGAGTACAAATAAGGTAGATGCACAATAGGTTCTTTTGGCGATTTGCCGAGATCAATAGTGAATTTGTTGGGAAAGGTCAAATGGAACGCGCTTGATACGAGCTGTGATCCAGACAGTCATGTACATAGGGTGCATGTTCCCTAGAGTCTCCAAGGATGTCCAAACCGTGAATGGGGTTCTGAAAAGGAGAAAAGAGAGAGAGAGAAAAATGCAGCAGTGTGGCAAGTGTATATATATGTATATATATGGATTTATGTACTATGAAATCGAAAGAGTAGAGTTTGTAAAATGAAAACATTGATGATTAAAAGTTATCACTGTCTAACTATTTTATGTTATTATTACTATTGAATGCCTACCTCTCAGTCATAATGTAAGCGCCTGAGTAGGAAACTTCCGAGTGTCTCGACAGAATAGCGACCTAAGCATAGTTTTGGAAATATGAACGTCAAAAGAAGCAAGCGCATGAAAGCAACCTCAGAGTTAATGATTAGTCGTCTCATCAATCTAAAGAGCCGAAAGGACACGAAATGTTATGCCACACAGACATGGCTGTAGCCATATTAAGTATCAATTTAAACAACACATTTACAGTTTAGAAGGAAACATATAAACTCCAATAAAAGTACAGAAAATAGGAATGATGACAAAATACAAATAATAACATCCCAAATTGCGACCAAACACAGTACCAAAATATTGAACAGAAATAGTCAGCAAGATCGTAACACACTTTGGCAGTACCCGATGGAATCCAGAAGCATCAAGAAGGAGTAGCCACACTCGTTGGAAATACTATCTACATTATTATTAGCGAAATATCTCATGAAAGTGGAGCAGGCATACTAGTTAGCTACCGAACGAAATGCAAAAGACGAGAGCTGCTGATAATTTTGCTCAATTCAGTCCAAAATGTGAGGTAAAATATTTCTTCTTAGACAAACTCAACACCTGGTCTTTTGGCGGCCCAAACTTTATTTAAGGTGAATTTACTGTAACCTAGGCAGTCTGGAAAAATCTAAGGACTGAATTGTTAGGAAATTCATGCAGATAGAATCTAGATGATGCGGCTACTACAAGTGACCGATTGAGGCATGATAAAAAATCAACCACTCACGACCCGGAATCCAAATCGCTTTTGCTAGATTTTATGTTAATAAGTTTTGATGATGACCGATAGATTATATGCTATATTCAGGTAAGCGTGTCTATGAAGCGTCAACAAAGCGAGTGAAGACCTTAAACTATCTAGCAAAAAATTTTTGTGCTTCACTAGCAAACGAAAATGCAATAAATAATTAACAGCTAACTTTAATGGCTTCCTTTGAAATCGCCAGAGTATAATTCAGCATAAGAAATATTTCTAAAGTGACTAGTACACTCAAACACTCTTACATTGCGGAAGCAAGTGGTATCAAAACTACCATGCTGAAAAATGGGATCAATGATCTGTCTGTTATACTTCTTAAGTTATTCTGAACATCACAGAGTGTTATAGTTTACCTCAACACCAGGTCACGGGATACGTGCCTGCTAGACTGTCTTTATGATATTACTCAAAAACAGGTCAAAGCGAATCTCGTATCGGTCCTATTTTTCAACTTTCAGAAGGCTTACTAATCGATCCAACACAAAAGGCTTCTCTTCTAACTAAAGTCATTTGGAATCAGTAACCCACATTATTCATGAGTTGTTTCATTTCTAAATGGAAGCCAATAAAGGATTGAATAGAACGGTTACCCTTCATCACCAAGACCAATAACCAGTCCAGTTATTCAGGGAAATGTATCGAATCCACAGTTGTTTCTTAAGCAGATAAATGATATAATAATAACAATGATAATTTATTCTCAAATAACGAACATATTACAAGAGGCATGCCAAATTACAGGCAAGATAAAAATGTTAAGATTGAAAACATATTTCTTTCAAAACGGTGTACAGTCACAAAAATATTTCATTAGATACATTAGGTCCGATTAGATGGCTAAAGGTTTTCACACAAAATTAAAGATAATTTGGCAGACTCTGTAATGTAGAACGCGAATCATTGGTGTGAGTTAAGATGGTTCCGTTACGACGAGCTATTTAATGACCCTGAAATAACGCAAGGTAGACGCACGTCTACACATAAAAAAAGTTGATGAAGTAAATTTGCAACGCACTGGTTGATTAAATTATAGGAAATCGGTTAAAGTAAAAAAGTCT